CCCTCCATGGCCAGGAGCTCTAGGGGGGGCAGAGGGTCTCCAGCACGAGCACAAGCACAAAACCCACTGGTGGGGCCACAGGCTGCCACAAAAGCTCCAGCACCTGCCCAGGGAACTGGTCTGTGAGCAGCTCCGGCTGCTGCTCCTTAACACTCATTATGGCAGCAGTGAGGGTGGGCTATAAACCATAACACCCCCATAGGTCTCCTGCCAGCTCCTGGTGTGAGAGCTGGGGGTGAGGAGGTGGGGTGCAGCAGCTGCTGGCCCAGGGAGGGTTTGCAGCTCTGGCTGTACCTATTCCCTTCCTCCTTGCTGCCACAGACTGATGGCACGGCAGGGTGACATGTCACCTCTTCTTCCTGTTTCTTGCTGGGGGGCTTTGGGTTGGGTGTGCTCCACCATGTGCATGGGAGGCTGGTAAACAGGACATGTCCCTGCTGTGCAGTATGTCTTGAGCGGGGAGGGCATTTAAGAGACACATTGTGCTGGGGGTGTTCGAGAGGCCTGTGGCTCTCCCAAAGAGTGGGTTTGGGGTGAGACAGGTGCCCTGAGCAGCCCTTTCACAGCTTCTTGCAGTCGTCGGGGCGCAGCATCAAGGCCAGAGCTGTTGGGTTGTTTCAAGGGACTCAAGCGGGTGAGTCCATGGGGCTGGAGATGAATGGGCAGTCTGTGTCCGTCAGAGTGAGACTGAGAGGGTTTTCAAGCCCTGTCATTTCCCTGTCTCCACTTTATGCCTCCAGCCTAGGAAGACAGCCTTAGTGCAGGGAGGGATGCAGGGAGCAGCAGGGAGCTGGGATAGCCCTGCTTAATGTGCCCCACACCTCCCTTTTGTCCGCAGCAGCATCTCCCCTAACATCCCATGCAGCTTAATGGATTGTAAATCCCCAAAGCTGGGGCTCACTACCAGGAGGAAAATGATGCCACACCACGTCGCTGTCCCTAGCCAGGACTTTGCCACCTTCTGTGTCACCCTTCTTGCACCACCACTGCTGCCCTGCCTTGGCAGAGAGGGAAACAGGGCAACCTGCAGGTAATGGGTGATGCCTGAGATGTTGTCAGTGTCCCAACTATGAGCTGGATGTCCCTGGAGATCACCTGAAGGTGACAGCCAAGGCAGCAGAGGGGTTCCCAGGTATGGCAGGGTCCCAGCTCGGCAGTCTGATGCCTCTCTCCTTCCATGCCCTTCAGCCCAGTGCCAGCACTGGGGCTCTTTGTTCCTTTTGGTTGTAGCCATCTCAGGGTCTTACACAGCCACGAGTGCAAAAAGAGACTGCCACAGGGGCTCCTCACTGTGCAGTTTGCTGCTCAAGGGGAAAAGTCACAGGGCTCCCCAACAGATGCAGCAGTGCTGGTGTCACAGGGGCTTATTGAAAGATGCTACTGGCATCTCCCCCTGGGCTGATGGAAGGGCTTGGGAGGGATTTCCGGGCTGGCCTCCTTCTCTCTGCAGCATCTGTCCTCACGACAAATCCAGTTTCACTGGGAGGTTGTCATAGATGTTCAGCTGCAAAACGTGCAGAGGGGAGGGCCTGGCAAAGATGGGGGTGGGGGAGAAGTTAGGGGTTTTTTTCCCCTCTCCGCTGTTTGCTGCCAGGGCCACACAAAGCAGGGCACAGCAGGAGGTAGAAAGGTGCTGAACACCCTGTGAGCAAAGCTCAGGAGGGGGGAAAAAACAAGGTTTCAGTTGTTGCACTCTTGTGGCACTAAGGTGCTGCAACAGCCCCTCTCTCAGTTTCCCTCTTTCGTCTGCAGAGGGGTGACAGCACTCCCCTCCCTCCCAAAAGCTGCATTTCTCTTCAGCCCCACCTTGAGCTGGAAACCACTGAGGGTTTTTATGTCTCTGGGGGCATTGCTGAATGAATGCCCCAAAGTTGGGGCGGTGATTTTCACCCCCCAGCCCTCGCAGAGACCTGCCTGATGCTGATTCTTGGAAGCATCAGGACCTCCCTCCATCTTCAGCGGGAGCAGGGAAGGCATCCCCACTTATGGCTTTGTTCCCCCCCAGCAACTCCTCACCAGGCTTGAGGGGAGCATCAAGAAGAAACCAGAGATCCACAAGCACCCACTCCACGTCAGATACAAATCCTTCCTGAGTTTAATTCTACACGTGCCAAGAGAAATGGCGCTCCCAGCACCAGCACTGCAAATAAAAGAGGAAAGACTAGAAGGACCCAGTGCTGCTCTGGCTCTTCGCCCTGTGGGGCTCTGCTGCTCTCTCCCAGCAAAAGCTGGGATCCGTGGCCCAGGGTATAGAGGGGGGAAAGCCCAGGTATCAGCTGGAGCCCAGCCAGGGACATTCACTGCCTTTGGGATTGTTTTGAAGAGCTGCTTTGCTTTCTAAAAATGAAAGGCATGCTAGAGCAGCCGGCATGGGGTGGGGTGAGCCTCGCTTCGAGGTTGGGATGGCATCAGGTACCCGGCCCCATCTCTAGGATTTCCCCCAAGCCCGGGCTGCCCTCAGCAGCTGCAAGCATGGGGGTAATGAGGACAGGCAGGATGGGAGCATGCCCAGGCTCCCAGACACAGGGTTGAGGCTTTGCTTGGGACAAGCGTGGCAAGCTGTGGGCATCGTTTTGGTGCCAGCATCCTCCAGTTGCTGGCAATGTGCTGGGGTAGGCACCGCAGCTGAGGGTGCCGCTGCCACTGTCTTCGCAGCCCCCTCTGCCCCTGCCTGGACTTCCCCGGGCAGGGCTGGCAGAGGATCTGCTGCCGGGCAAGTGCCGGCGGAGGCGGGCAAGGGGGAGAGAGCGGCGTGCCCCGACCTGCTTTAGCTATGAGATCACCCCACGCTCCCAGCTTTTAAAGAGTGATAGGAAGCTGTAGACAGCCCCGGGCGGCTCTTGATGGGTACGACTGAGCACGAGAGGCTGGGGACTGGAGCAGGCACCGATCCCTGGGGCTGCGCTTTGTGCACCCTGCTCCTCAAAAATGTGCTGGGTTCCTTCAGAAAGATTCCCATGTTGTTTTGCACAAGTCCGGGGGTCAAATCTGCACCCCACTCGACCCCATGTGCTGCAGGCTTCCCTGGGGTCAGCTGAAGGAAACCCTTCCTGCAGGGTTTCTGCTGGAACATCCCCCAGGCTTCAGCAGCGTGTGCTCAAGTGCGAGGTGAAGCAGAGAGGTCGCACGTGTCCACGCAGGGCTCTGGCCGGTGGTTTACGCTCCTTGGCAATGGGGACGCAGTGCAAGGATGAGCAGTAACCAGAGCTGTGCTGCACCTGCCCTGGGCCTCCTGCTTTCGCTCTGATTTAATGTCCCAGTTGAGAGGTGATGTCATTTCGCAGGGAGCCAGAGAAAAGGAAGTGCTGGAGAAGATAAGGTGCTTTAACTCTACCCCTTCCGGCTTGGCTGGGTTTTGAAGCTGCGAGCTGTGTTAGCTGCCAGCAAGAAAAACATAAGAGAGGGGAAGAGAGAGCTTGGATGGAGGACACCTTCTTCTTGGAGCAGTGGGAGCTGACACCAGGAGCTGCTGAGATGGAGGGTGATGGAGGACCTTGGATGTTCCCAGGTGGTATGAGCACGATTTTGTGCGCTGCTCTGGCTTCTCCATCGCCTTCACCTCCCAAACACATGGGGTGGGTTGTCTGCAGCCACCAGAGCCTGGGTGCCACACCAGCAGCCAGGGAGGTGCTCCAGGAGGATCAGCAGAAATGCTGGCAAGGTGCTGAAGAAGATAAATTGAGAATGTGCCAGGGCTGCCCCGCTTCCGAAGGGGAGAGAGACTGAATGGAAAGGTTATTACCAAGGGCTCATTAAAACGTCTTGTTTAGCTGTGGAGATGGGCTAGGGATTCCCATGGTGCTGAGTCCAGACACGTGGGACTTTCAGAAGGATCTCGTGGGGTCATCCTGGTCCCTCTGACAGTCAAAGGTGGTCAAGTCCCAAAGTCTTCTCTGCCCTTTGGGTGATGTCACCTTTCGGTGATAGCATCTGCTCATTCACGTGACTGGAAAGACCTCAAGGGAGACTGCTTGGGCTGATATGACCCAAGGTCCTCTCCGTTGCACCAAGCTTCCACCCAGATGTCCTCAGTTGGAAGGAGTGAGGTTATGTCACCACTAGCCAGGCCTGTCTCTACTCCAGAGAACATGATTGGTGAGTGAGAGCAAATCTGGCCTTATGCAACTGTGCGGGACATGCGACAGCACTGGGGGTTTTCCAGCTCCCCACCATGCAGGCAAGGCAACACTTGCTGCAACGCTCAAGTCAGTACTCTTGCAGCTTGAGCTGGGGACTGGCTTTCAGGCAGGCTCATTCATATTTAGACTGTGGTTTTGACCGTGCCAGACACCGTGGCGATAGCTCTGGCTGTCAGATGACACCTACAGTGGCCCCAGCTGGGGGATTTCTTTCAACATCGGGCTTCAAGATGCTCAAGCGGGGTATGACTGCCCAGCAGCTTGGTGCGATCAGTTGGGCGCTGCTTGCTGTCGCATTCAGTAAGGTCAGAGTGTGAAATGGCCTGCAGGTACCAACGGTCCAACGTGGCAGAAGTCATGGGCTTGGCGAGGCTGGGCAGAGGAGGCAGCTCAGAAACTGCAATGTGGAGGTGTAGCCATTGCAGCAAGGTCTGGGCTGGCCTCCCCAGCCCGAGGAGATTTGTGCCTTGGTGGGCTTGCTTGTCATCGTCCTGCACTGGTCGGTTTTGCTATCAGAAAGTGACCCTGGTTGTCCTCAAAGGAGCAGGCAGCCAAGAAAAGGACTTTCTCTTCCTGTCGTTTGTCTGGCGGAAGCTGCGAAGAGCAGGAGGGGGTGCAGGATGCCTCATGTGTGTGTTAATATCCAGCTGTGGCAGGAAAAATCAGAGCTGGGTCTCCACTCCTTTCTCCATGTGTGTGGCACAGTCGTCACAACGTGTCTGTGTTGGTTAGCAATGACTGGTGTCTTTTTGCTCCTCAGGGCTCTGTTCTCAGTCTTGCAGGGTTACCACCACTTTGTCCCCAGGCTGGGCCTTGGGGTGCCGGGTGCTGATGGTGCCGGCCTCACTGCTACGAGCTCAGTGTCCCCATTTTCTCCACAGGAGGCTTTGCCACCTTCTCGTCCTGCTTCCCGGGGCTCTGCGAGGGGAAGCCAGCTGCCATCCTGCCGATGAGCATCTCCCAGCCATGCCTGCCTGTGGCCAATGTCGGCCCCACGCGGATCCTGCCGCATCTCTACCTGGGCTCCCAGAAAGATGTCCTAAACAAGGTACAGCCCTGTCGAGGGGACACGTGTGCTCTGTCCCATGTGGGACCCCAGCCATGCAGAGGGGTGAAGGCGTTAAGGACTCTTCTCCTGCACGGTGGGAGGACCACGTGTGGTTGGCCTGACCCTACCAGGAGGCTGAGGGCAGGGAGTGCATGGGCAGAGCCTGGCAGAACTGGGGGGAGTGGTCGCAGGATGAGTCATCTTATATTGATGGGCTTTGGGATGGTCAAACTCTTCCCACGTACCCATAGCAAAATCAGGGGCAGGAGGAGCACAGCTGGGAAAACACCTGGCCTTGGAAGGGGAGTTACCACAGCTGGAGGGAGGTGTGGGACAGAAGCCAGCTTTGCACCCACCCACCTTGCCAGCCAGGCTGCCAGATAACGCTGGTTTCAGGAACCCTGCCATCTCCTTGGGAGCCAGAGAGAGTGGAAGCAAGCTGGGGTATTCAGCCGCGGCAGCGCAGGGACAGGCAGCTCTGACCAGGGTCAGGGGCTTGTTCAGGAGGCCCAAAAGTGAGCAAAGTTTTGCTATGGGGAGAGAGGAGAAAAGAGGTATGGTGCCCTTTTAAAGGTGCTGGAAGGGCTGTGCTGTGATGTCACGCCAGGGAAGGAATTTTGTTTAAAGGAAAAATAACTTCGAGAAGAAAGAAAGAGGAATTGCACTTAAAATGCCAGCGGGCGCCTGCCTACCAGGGGCAGGAGGGAGCCAGCCGGGCGTCCTTGCCTGGGGCAGCCAAGGAGGGAGAGGGACCACAATGCCAGAGGGGGGTTGGAGACAGAAAGGAGGGAGAGAGAAATTATATACAGGGAGTAGAAGGAAATGAAAGAGAAAAATGCCAAGAATGTGAGCCCGGGAGCTGGGCTGGCTCCGCGGAGCTGAGGCTGGGCTCTGCAGAGCCTGCTGGGGTGGGCAGGAACCAGCTGCTGGAGAGCCAAGGCCGAAATCCCGGTGCGGTCTCCTGAGGAGCCAATGTCAGGCAGGGAAATTGATGGTTTCCTTCCCTCCCCGCCTCCTCGGAGGATTTTCTTCATCTTTTGGAGCTGTGTTTTCTGCCATCCCCACAATGTGGCCAGAAGATGCTCTATTCATAGGCAGCAGAGCAGGGTCAAGTTTGGAGGCCATGCATGGGCAATGCTTCTCTTCTCCAGCACATTGCAAAGGAGGGATCCCACATGGCAGCTCCACGCACTCAGATGTGTGGAAGGACTCCTCTATCTCCATGTTTTCTCCTTCCATTTAATTCTGGGTCTTCCCTGGAATAGTGCACTGAGACCCAGCAGCTGGCACAGACATTTCCCCATTTTTTATGAGCAACCTGCCCCCAGTTGTACAGGTGATACCTAATCTGATGGGACAAGGAAAGAGACAGGGGTCAGGTGAGGCATAAATTTGGTGTCAACACCACATTATAGGTGAAGTTGGCTGTAGCCCTGGGAGGGAAGAAATGGAGGCTGGTGTAGATGCAGCAGTACACACCCAGCAAGCCAGTTCCCTGACGGATAGCCTGTGGGTCGAACCTCACCCCCTCGTTGCAGTTTCTCATCTGACCCCATTTACCTAAGATCTTTCTTGTGCCACTGCATTTTATTGAGTCAGAAACATGGGCAGTGATGGTGGCCATTGAGTGGCCAAAGCAGAAAAGTCACAGAAAACAAGTTCAGGTTCACTCCAGAGTCAGAAAGAGGGAAGAGATGGTTCACCTCACCTGCCTGCCTATGTCCCAACCCAAGAGCATATGTTCACAGTGCAGAACTGTGAACAACTAACAAATCTGTGAGAACTCCTGATGTGTTTGTGAGGAGTGTGGGAGCAAAGGCATGGGTTGACGTTGGTTAACATAGGATGCTACCAATGACTCACCCCACTGTGTTGGTGATATGCCTTCTCTTTAAAACACTTTCAAAGCTTTCAGCGAGAGTTTTTGCTGATTTTCTTTCTTGTATTTTCCTGTTTCTCTCATACTGGGGTTCTTGGGTTTTGGGACCCCCTTCCAGGTGTCTTTGGTCTTGCTTACTTTTACTTCGACCAAAGTAAAGATCTGCTGAGGTTCAAACCTGTGTCATCTAAATTGGCACAACCCTCTCAGCTGGTCTCTGCTGTACTACCATCAACTAGGCCAAGGCAGCAGTGGGAGACGCAAAGGAGGAAACACTGGGATGGGAGAAGGCAGGGAGTGCATGGCGAGGCAGATCTTCAGCGCTCGCTGCTGGCTGAACTCAGCCGATCATTTGATTGCTCCTCTCCCACCAGGACTTGATGACGCAGAACGGGATAAGCTATGTCCTCAACGCCAGCAACTCCTGTCCCAAGCCAGACTTCATCTGTGATAGTCACTTCATGCGCATTCCTGTCAATGACAACTACTGTGAGAAGCTGCTTCCCTGGCTGGACAAGTCCATTGAATTCATTGGTGAGCTTTTATTACAATGGTTGCAGACCCTCCAGTTCTCAGCCTTCAAAACCTGAGCTCTTCTTCTGTCCTCCGTGGTCTTACTCCCAGCAACCCTTGTCCTTTCACACAAAGGGATTGAGGGCTGGGTAGGGAGGCTGGAGTAATTTTGCTCACTATCTCTGACCGCATCGATGCTTCTCTCCCTGTTTCCTCTACCATGCTCCAGACAAGGCCAAGGTGTCCAGCTGCCAGGTGATTGTGCACTGCTTGGCCGGGATCTCCCGGTCGGCCACCATTGCCATTGCCTACATCATGAAGACCATGGGTATGTCGTCAGATGATGCTTACAGGTGAGTTTTGCCCAGAGGGGTTACACTGGTATGCTTCACTCCAGGGAAGTAAAGTGGGCTGAGCCCAGAAGGAGAGGGTGGGAGCTCCTTGAAGCTCTGTCTTGCCTTGGCTGAGTCCCAGTGAAACCAAACCAAACCTCCCTTCATAAAATGCATGTAATGAGGAATAGTTGGGAATGGTAAAATGGAGGGGGGAGGCAGTCCTACCTGTACACCTGGGACAGTCCAAGGCCCCGTGGTTCCCCAAGACCCCTTTCTTTGGAGAGTCTGGTCAGAAGGTTGTGGACGATGCCTCTTCTCCCCAAAGAGGCTGAGAGAGTAGGGGTGAGCCACTGAAGGACCAAGCACCAACCGGGGCTGTCTGTGCCTCTCGGCAGGTTCGTTAAGGACCGTCGCCCGTCCATCTCGCCCAACTTCAACTTCCTGGGCCAGCTCCTGGAGTACGAGAGGAGCCTGAAGCTCCTCAAGGCCCTGAAGTCAAAGGGCGACCGGGGCGAGGGGGAGACCCAGCAGGACCTGGCAGAGGCAGCTGAGGGCAGCCGGCATCCCCCACCACCTACCTCAGAGAAGGCCGAGGAGGTGCCGAGAGGCACCAGCTCGGCGTCCCCCCACAGTGACCCCGAGCGGCCAGGCGGGACCTCGAAGGTCCTGTCGCCCACCGCCCTGCAGCAGGGGCTCAACGGCTTGCACCTCTCCTCCGAGCGCATCCAGGACACCAACCGCCTGAAACGCTCCTTCTCCCTGGACATCAAGTCCGCCTACTCCCCTGGCCTGCGGCAGGACC